AGGAAGTTAGGTGGTAGTCGACGAAGGCGCGCTCCACTACAGACTGTAGAATGGTCACCTGTACTATTCGGTAATTAGTGCTGCATCCTTTACTCCTAGGAAGTGCCTCACAATCTTTCAGCTATTTTATTTGCTTGGTTTCCTCCTTGGCGCTTCTTCCGCAGCGTGAACATGGGGTCCGAAAGTGAGACAGTGTGTTCTCAGAGGGCAGATAAAAGGAAAAGAAACGAGTGAAAACGCATAAATGAGGCCTTTTCACTGAAGCGTTTAGGGGGTGGGGTGGTTGGAAGATTCTGATACGAGCAATTTAAGAGACACTGGGCACCGACGCAAATGCACGACAGACGGAGGCGAGAAACCACCAGAACGAGACGACGGGTGGGCCTGGTTTCTTGGGGTGTCCATAGTTGCAAGCTCCAAACTCCTTGCATCTTTCGTTTTATGCCGTGGAAGCGGCTATATTTCTGTGATTAGGGACTTACAAATGCCTCTGGTCGATGAAATTGTTCAATGAACAAATCGTGAAATGTGCCTTTAGGTCAGGGCTATTGCAAAGTGGAAGCCTGGCAGCTTTCCGTTTTCCTTCACCTTCATATGTAATTCATTTGAACGCCATGTTGAACGCCATTTATCCCAGAACCATCTATCCCACTCTGCTTCTCTCTTTTTCCGAATAACTTCTTCTTCACAGCATCATTTCTATCCGCTGCGGTCCCCTGCTCTTAGCATAGATAGTCAAAGAGTTCCTCTACAGTTCCCTAAACTGCCAGTTCACGTTTCTTGACGTTATCCCGGCGCTGTCGCAAGGCATTCTGAGGGACTGCTAAGCCCTGGAAGGGGCAGGGAGTTCGGAACAAAATAGATTGCTCACATACCCAAGATTCTCTCCCACCTGTCTGAGGCGTAGTCCCCATTTCAATAAGAAGGGAATCTTCTACGGGGTTTGAAATGCATTCCAATCACAGTGCCCTATATTTTGTGATAGCGCCGTTCTCCTTGTTGCCGTCGCCGTAGAAGCAGTGTTTACCAATTGCAACCATTGCAGTTCATGTGGTTGGGTAAGCTACCTTTTGGTTGGCGGGTCAGGGTTTTCAGTTCAAGCTTATCAGGGCTATGAATCATCCTGAAGTCTAGCCATCTTTCCGGTAACATTGTTGATTGCTAGGATCCCATGAGCTTCCGTCAACTTCATGCATGCCGTATGTGCCGGAAGTGTGCTGTCTCATCGACGCTTCTTCTGCAGCTGGATTCCACATTACATTTAATCCATTCGTTTAAGGGCTCTTACAGAGGAAGTCTCTCGGGGTGTGGAGCATTTTTTTCAAAAAAAAT